AAAACCTTTAAAATGCCTCGCCGGCCGTTTGCCTGCATAGCGCTCTGTCATTAGGGCGTGCCTCGGGCACGCCCGCAGGCAAAAGCCACCACAAGGCCACAGCAATGGCTCAAGGCATCCCCCCGGCCGCAGCAATGGCTTCTTATAGGCGTTCAAGGCTGCCGTTTGACAGGCTTCAAACGCTTAAAATGCCTCGCCGGCCGTTTGCCTGCATAGCGCTCTGTCGTTCGGGCGTCCATGCCTCGGGCACGCCCGCAGACAAAAGCCACCACAAGGCCACAGCAATGGCCACCACAAGGCCACAGCAATGGCTGAAGGGCACCCCCCGGCCGCGGCAATGGCTTCTTATAGGCGTTCAAGGCTGCCGTTTGCCAGGCCTCAAACCGCTTAAAACCCCTAAAATGCCTCGCCGGCCGTTAGCCTGCATAGCGCTCTGTCGTTAGGGCGTCCATGCCTCGGGCACGCCCGCAGGCAAAAGCCACCACAAGGCCACAGCAATGGCTCAAGGCATCCCCCCGGCCGCAGCAATGGCTTCTTATAGGCGTTCAAGGCTGCCGTTTGACAGGCTTCAAACGCTTAAAACCCCTAAAATGCCTTGCCGGCCGTTTGCCTGCATAGCGCTCTGTCGTTAGGGCGTCCATGCCTCGGGCACGCCCGCAGGCAAAAGCCACCACAAGGCCATAGCAATGGCTCAAGGCATCCCCCCGGCCGCAACAATGGCTTGTTATAGGCGTTCAAGGCTGCCGTTTGACAGGCTTCAAACGCTTAAAACCCCCTAAAATGCCTCGCCGGCCGTTTGCCTGCATAGCGCTCTGTCGTTAGGGCGTCCATGCCTCGGGCACGCCCGCAGGCAAAAGCCACCACAAGGCCATAGCAATGGCTCAGGGCATCCCCCCGGCCGCAGCAATGGCTTCTTATAGGCGTTCAAGGCTGCCGTTTGACAGGCTTCAAACGCTTAAAACCCCTAAAATGCCTCGCCGGCCGTTTGCCTGCATAGCGCTCTGTCCTTAGGGCGTCCATGCCTCGGGCACGCCCGCAGGCAAAAGCCACCACAAGGCCACAGCAATGGCTCAAGGCATCCCCCCGGCCGCAGCAATGGCTTGTTATAGGCCAGGCTTCAAACCCTTAAAACCCTTAAAATGCCTCGCCGGCCGTTTGCCTGCATAGCGCCCGCACGCAAAAGCCACCACAAGGCCACAGCAATGGCTCAAGGGCACCCCACGGCCGCAGCAATGGCTTCTTATAGGCGCTCAAGGCTGCCGTTTGCCAGGCCTCAAACGCTCCAAACCCTCCAAAAGTCCGCCCAGCTCTGCACGGAAAAGGTACCCCAACAAGCCCAACACGCGCCACTCCCGCACGCAAAAGCCACCACAAGGCCACAGCAATGGCTGAAGGGCACCCCCCGGCTGCGGCAATGGCTTCTTATAGGTGTTCAAGTCTGCCATTTGCCAGGCCTCAAACCCTCCAAACCCTCCGAATCCCCCAAAAGTCCGCCCAACTCCGCAGGCAAAAGGTAACCCAACAAACTCAACACGCGCCACGCCCGCAGGCAAAAGCCACCACAAGGCCACAACAATGGCTCAAGGGCACCCCCCCCAAGTTGATTGCTTTGACCATATCTTATTGTATGTGGATATATCATTACCATTGATGACCCCTCATCATAAAATGATTAATCATCAACAAGCTGTCAGGTAGCCAACACGGCCACTGCCTCACCCTTGCGCACCTGGCGGAGTTCGAACTGATCCGTGTCCATTTGGCCGCAGGGTGCAACTTCTCGCTGCTTGAGAAGCAAACGGCCATATGTCTGTCTTGCTGTCCGTCTCCCTCTCTCTCTCTACAGTACCCCCCCTCCAATTAGGGGGGTCGGCGGCACCTGGGCGCTAGCCCATTCTATTATATATATTAGGGCTTAACAGTTGGATGATTCCTAGCATCCACCAAAAAGCTGGAAACAGTTGGTTGAGGCTACATGAGGCTACGATGCACAGTCTATGACATTATGACAGTCTAATATTCATATGCGGATACTCCATCGTATGGTTAAGTTACTAGAGAAAGGTGAGCACATGTGAAAAGGTAGGTGTTTAAGGATACTCTATTTTTTCAGACAACCCCGTGCAATTCCCATTCAACCAGCTATATATATATAACCCAAAAACATAATCATCAACCAGCTGATAAAACCCTACATGATCATGAACCAACTATGGGTTTGGACAGCGTCATCGTCATCATCATCATCACCACCATCATCATCATCATCACCATCACCATCACCATCACCATCACCATCATCATCATCACCATCACCATCACCATCATCATCATCATCATCACCATCACCATCATCATCATCATCATCATCATCACCATCACCATCACCACCACCACCACCATCATCATCATCATCATCACCATCACCATCATCATCATCACCATCACCATCACCATCACCATCATCATCATCATCATCATCATCATCACCATCACCATCACCGTCACCATCACCATCACCATCATCACCATCATCATCATCATCATCATCCTCATCCTCATCCTCATCCGCCTTCTCCTCCTCCTCCTCCTCCTCCTCTTCCTCCTCCTCCTCCTCCTCCTCGCCGTCGTCGTCATCGTCATCGTTGTCGTCGTCATCACCAGAAACGATTCACAAAGGTATGGATTCTCTCTACAAATGCCAACAGAACTTGAAGCCGTGCCCATCCTGTGTGCCCTCACTTTTGGTCCAGATGCCCCTCGAAGCTCTTAGGCCCACTATATATATGTATGTATATCCATCCCAGAATGTGAATGGGAAGACTTATGTGCACATATAAATCCCTTTGGATTGAGGACTATCCCGCAATATGATGCAAGATGAAGCGATGAAGAATTTGCCCAAGTTTTGACCAGGGAACATATGAACATATAAGATCATAAGGTAGAATACCAAACACTTGCCGAGGGCATCTCCATTCCTGCTGCATCTATCTCCCTGTAAATCACATTGCAACCCCCCAATAACGAACTCATTTCATTCTTGCCATAGACATGTTTGGTTCCGTTATTGGCGCCCCAAAGGCTTGAGCCCCAGTTCTTCTGCATGCCCATGTTTCACATGTTTCATGGTGAGCTCATCTTCGATGCTGAAAATCTCAAACAAATCACCATGTCTCACGTTTGATTCAATTCAAACAAATTACATGGGGATGTTCCATTATCAACCATCCAGCTATTGGGGTACCATTTATGGAAACCTCCACATCCATCCCCCATCCCCATCCCGCTGGGCCCCGACGGGTAGCTGCTCCTCGACCGCCGCTCCGTGGGGTCCGCCTCGGCGTCCGCCGTGTCCTCGCGGCGCAGCAAACGCACGCGCCACATGCGCACCTGGAGACGCGGAGGGGCCCTGGGCCACCTCCAATAGAACAAAATAGGCAATGGTCAATCATAATCGTTCAAGAATATCAAATGAAATGAAATGGAATGAAATCGAATGATGGTCGAGCCACAAACATCTAGCATGGCTATGTTCAATTTACCATAAAAGATATTCATATATACGTAGATCATGTTGAAATCAAACATATGGATGTCCCATTGCCATGCTTGATGGCCACAAGGCACCAGTTTTTCATGCCCCTGCCCATTGCCCATGGATATGGGTCAAAGCGCAAGATGGGGCCTTCAGTTATGGTTTGGTTCCCAAGCTTCATCCAAATGTAGATAGATCTTACCTAGCCATGTGGATAAAACCCCGACTTACTCCATGGACTGACAAACTTTGACTCATATCCTTACCCTATGGTAAACGTTTACATAACTATGGAAAATCCACCCATTTTTAATGGGAAAATCCACTATAACTGGCCATGTTCAATAGCTATGTTGGTCATTACCAGAGGGTAAGTAATTTTAATCTTGGATCAATCCCTCCAAGCTCCGCCCCGAAAACCACCTGCAAGGAGTGGCTTGGTTGGAACTGCTGGCCTCGGTCGCATGTGAAGTGTTGAATTTTCAACCCAGCCCTTATGGTCATTTCGGGTTAGATGTAGGCATAAATCATGATAAAAGATGATAAAATCACAAAACCAGAAAGAAAACAGGAACTCATCAAACACACAAAAGAGACGTCGTTGGATTCGCGAAGCTACAACCGCTCCAACATCCCTTGGCCACCACCGTGCCAAGTAACTGTCCGGCATGATGGTCCAGGTAGGTAAATGGCAGCCAACCAGCAATTCCATGGGACACACCTCTGGCTACGCGGCTACGGTGCTGGTGGGTCTGGTTTTTCGGGGCTCCGGAAAGATCCAAAACACTTTGAGAAAGGAATGTCAGTTGATTCTGGCAGATAAAGCAATGGGTCAATGGCTCTTCAGAAAAATATCCACGGCTCAAATCCAGAGATTGTTCATCCCTTTGGGTCATTGAGCAATCTCGCATCAAATTGAACTTCTAGGTACCTGAGTAAACTGCTCCGAAAAGATGTGGAAAAACCCGTAGGTAAACTCGTTAAAACGATCTACATGAAATGATGGGCTTTCCACATCTATCTTAGTTTACAGGAGGGTACATAATCTGACAATTCTGCAATTGCAGGAAACCTAGGTGCGAATTTCAAGCGCATAAAATCATCCCCATCTTTGCGCTCTATCCTAATTTTTTCAACAGGGTCACATCCCTCATTTCACCTGGCAAGTGAAAAACCATCAACTAGCTGACTAGTTGTGGATGATTTACTACCTATTGAACCAAATAACATGATCTGAAAACCACCAAAACTGATCCAAAAACCCAGCGAAAAAAACCAGCGGGAAATCCTCAGGTGCCGACCCCCTCAGGTGGGAAGACCACGAAGTCGGGTTCATCCTCCTGCATCGAGCCACATTGCGGTAGATGTGGTGTAATATAGAAATAATGAGATCATGTATGTTTTATACCGTATATATATACAGAATACATGTATATGTACATATACTGCTCATCTGTGTACATCGCGTTTCTATCTGTAACAAATTTATATATACATGTGTATATATATATACATGTAAAAGTCGAAGCCTAAAACAACTATGCATATATGTATGTGTTTGTGATTTATGTCTTTATTCATACGTATATCTACATATCTAATCTAATTTGAAATACAGTAGCCGTTTTTGTTCAATGCTCCTGCGGGGAGGCCCAACATCTGTGTTTTCATGGTCCAATGATGTGAAACGTTCACCACCCTCTGGTTATGACTAACATAGCCATGGTATAGATGGCCCATAGAAATAGATGGTTTACCTAGCTATAAAATGGCTGGATCTTTCCATGGCGAACTGTGAGTCATAACCAGATGGTATCACAATCATTCTAATCATACTAAACATACGAAACATACGAAACATACTAATCATACTAATCATACTAATCATCATCTCATTGTCATTCTCATTCTCATCATCATCATCATCATCATCATCATCATTTATGGAACCCTTAAAAGAACCTTCACCCTTGGTTTCATCTAGTCCCCTGTTTGGAAAATCTCCTTGCTGGCATCTGCACTGGGGGGTGCCCTCAGTGACGACAGCGGCTCATCTTGGATCGTTCGATTCGCTAGTTTGTACCAATCCCACTGTAAAAAAAAAACTACGAACCAAAACACTAGCCTTTGAAAACCAACTAAAACTACCAAGTAACCTACTCTTGCCGAAAAAGAACATGCAAACTAAAAAGACTAACTTAACCTGCTCAAGCAAGGTTTGTCCAGCACTGATTGGGAAAACGGGGGACGATTTCATACACCAAGCAACAACGATGCTCTGTTGGGTTCTTTTCTGTGATGGGTAAACAAAGATCTACATGCAGTCGAACTGTCCGTTGTATCTAAAGATACATAGATACATAGATACATAGATACATATTACATCATATTACATCATATCACATGTGTATGTATATATATATATGTATATTGTACTAAATATATGTTATTCGTCGCACAAAAAAGGGACTCGGAGCCGAACACTTCCGTTGGACCATCGCAATCTAAAATCAGTGCAGCTTATGTTCAGAGTGGCTTCTTCAATCACAAACAATGGCAAACATATGCAAACATCATAAAATAGAGGGCCACCAACAACCGATATCAACCAATATGGTTGGAATTAGTCCATTGGAGCCACCACTCATAGCTATACCATCTGCTTCATCGCTCCATCAAGCATCAGCACCATGTGTGAAACGCCCCAAAAAATCCCCATCCATGTGACTGCCAGTGAGTTTACCTGGTAAACGTTTACATAACTATGGAAAATCCACCCATTTTCAATGGGTAAATCCACTATAAATCACCATTTTCAATAGCTATGTTAGTCATTACCAGAGGGTAAGTAATTTTAATAGTGGATTTATAGTTAAACCCATAAAATGCTCAGTTTTCCGGCCCTGAGATCCCGAGATGCCGAAAAAATCAGGCCCGAGATACCGAAGGACGCAGGTGTCGTTCACCCGAGATCCACCCATACTGCGCCTAGGAAGAAATCCTCCATGAATGGAGGTGAAAAAGCAGGGAAAATCATCGAACTACATGGAAAATGTCCGGTTGCTATGTGTGATTACCGGAGATTTATCAATGTGAATATTGGGATATATTACGGAAAGAAAGGGATAAATAAGAAACTATGTGTCATCTTAGCCAATTTTAGATAATCTTACCATCCCCCAACTATCATAGACCCTGCCAAGAGCCGGGGATTGGAAGACTAGTGTCATTCAAAAGTGGCTATGTTCGAGGCCTATGTTAATTTGCGGAAGGGTATTTCAAAGAGATGGGGATAGTAAATAGTGACAGTGATGATGATGATGATGATGATGATGATGATGTTGATGTTGATGTTGATGTTCATGATGATGATAACAATATAACAGTTGCTGTATGTGTGTATATTTATATATGTATATGATTATTATTTATTATTATTATTATTTATTATTATTATTATTTATTATTTTATTTTTAGTTTTATGTTTATTATTATTATTATTATTATTATTATATATTATATATTATACATTATATATTATACATTATACATTATATATTATATATTATATATTGTATTATATATCATATATGATGTATTCTAGATTATATATTATATATTGTATTATATATCATATATGATATATTATACATTATATATTATATACTATATATTATATATTATATATTATATATTGTATATTATATATTATATGTTATATGTTATATATATAATGTTATATATTATATAATATATCATATATCATATACTATATACTATATGTTATATATTATATTATTATTTAATATATTATATACTATATACTATATACTATATGCTATATAATACTATATATTATATATTATATATTATATGATATATACTGTATGATATATATATATATTATGATATATATTAGTATATATTATATGATATGTATGATATGATATATATATATTATGTATATTATGTTTTTTGCTGGTTCGTATATCTCTCACGGCAACGAGGTACAAAACCTTCCTGGACCAAGATTTATCCATTTACCAGCAAGCCGCTGGATATAAAGGTTAGACACCTGACACCTGGACATTCTGAAGTAAATTCATCATCTTTAACATCCTCAAGACACGTGTCCACCTTTTGGGGTCCTATGTTAGCTGGTTGATTCCTACGGTGATAGGTTATAACCCACCTATTAAATATATATATATACTTAGATATAGCCCCAGTTGGGTGACTTCCTAAGTTGGTTGTAAACCAGATACTGAGTGGGATGCAAATCCAGCAAGTGATTTTTGCAAGTGCCCTCTGTCAACCTAACATGGCAATGGAAGATGCCCGGTGTCTAAAGATCATTGTCCCCATTGCCAGCTGGGATTCTTTGAGAAGCAACGGCACCACACAAGAGTATCTAAACAATTCTAAACATGTACCCTCTGGTTATGTCAAAATAGCTATTGAAAATGGCCATAGAAATAGTGAATTTTCCCATTAAAAATTGGTGGATTTTCCATAGTTATGTTAGTTTACCAGAGGGTAGTCAGAGATCTTTTGGGGGGAACCAACAGCCACATTTGGATACATTTGGTGGACCACTCGTGGCTGACAGCTGAAGTCACCGTTGAATCCGGACATGGATGCCATGAGAAACCCTGGATGCACGGTTTCGTTGGATGGCGAAGTATCCAATCATGGAGAAACCACTCATGTTCAACAATCATTTACCCTCTGGTAAACGTTTACATAACTATGGAAAATCACCATTTTTAATGGGAAAACTCACTATAAATGGCCATGTTCAATAGCTATGTTAAATTACCAGAGGGTACATGGCCCAGAAACCCGTTGACCGTGGCTTGGCATCCGAAGCTGCCATTTGGGGATTCCCGTAACCATCATTTAAAAAGTGACGTCGCGACGGTTGCCACTTCTCCCCGAAATATGTTGGTTAAATTACTGTAATGTAGCAGTTCATCCTGTGTTTGTGTGTGTGTCTTGATTCATATTACCCTCTGGTAAACAAACAGAGCGATTGAAAATGGTCATTTATAGTGGATTAACCCATAAAAAATGGTGATTTTTCATAGTTATGTTAGTTTACCAGAGGGTAAATCATGTGAAATCGTCATAGACGGTCAATGCCCCTATGCATGGGTGAAACATAAAGCGAAGTCCCTGGGTTTCCCGTGCAATTTGGAGTTCAAAAGCTGTCGTCGCAAGATCAAGCTTCTACTCCTTGTGACGCCCCCAGATTCCCCCGGGATAAGGAAGGATCCAAAGAGAGGGAGCAACTGTTTGTTGGCTTCAAAATGGATTGGTTTAAGGGAAAATTTACAGGATACCATTGTTTTTACCATTAAATATGAGGTCTTCCTGTAAAATTTCCCCTAAACCAATCCATTGAGCTTCAAAATGGTTGCGATTTGGGCGTAAGTTGGGGATGGAAAACCATAACTTAAGTTACTTTATATTCACCACCCACTAAACAACAGTCGTTTGGTCTTTCTGTGACCTGAAAGCAAGCCTTTGGAGCACATGTTCATTTCATGGCACTAGCATGGCATTCAGATTGGTCCACCAGCATGGGCTATAGGCTATAGTTGAAACTATGCTGAGACTATGCTTATTGATACCAACTGGGATGCACATTGAAGATCACCCAAGGCCTACCGAAATCGCGAAATCGAAACCCAGGCCGTTTTTTGACCCATCGCCAGGTTCTTGCGAAACGAAGCCACGAAAAAGCTCGTTGCTGATCATTTTCCAGCGGCTTTGGCTGAAGCTGTAGGGCATCTCATTTGCCCAACCTGAGCAAAAGCAGAAAGGCAGCAGTAGCCATTGGTAGCCATTGGTAGCCATTGGTAGCCTGCTTCTCGCCGCTGTTTGATACATCTGAGGCATCTGGGCATCTATGCTTGCCCCTGAAAACTCGTGCTGGAACAGAAATATCGACTCGCGAATCACCCTTCTCATTGGTTGCCGTCTTCTTCGCAAGTTTCTTTGCTTTTTGTTACTTTATTCTTGGCTGCCCCTTTCTTCGCGGCAAGGAGTTCAACTTCCAGCCGAAGCGCTTACGCTTATGAAACGGGCAGCTGCGGCACCTGCAGCCAGTGGTGTGACAAATACAACAAAACAAAACACTACGCAAAACGTCGCAAAGCGTGGTAGAATGGCCAATAGCTCAATAGCAGTGGAAAAAGACATGTCAAATGAGATTAGATTCTCTCATAATCTATATTAATAACAATTACCATTCCGATTTGCATCAAACTCGTGGATCAGACTTTAGCCCCTGCCGCTTGCTGCTTGGTTCGTCGGTCCGCCCATTGGAAATGAAACAATCGGAACAATGGCTCTTCTTTGGTGATCCCAAGGCGATTCCATTCCATTTCACCAGAAAAAAAAACAAAACTCCCTGGTCACCATGCACCCATGCACCCCATGCCTTTGGCCCCAAAAATGCGAGGCATTCGCCATAGTTGGCCTTTCCCGGAAAGCTGCTAGGCGTGAAGCCCAGCTCCACCACGTCAAAACCCTTCAGTGTGCCGCTGCGGCATGGGCTGCACCAGCACTGCGTTTCTGGACGCGTCCTGGTGCCATGGAAATCGATATAGAAATGCTGAACAAATGGGATTTCCAAGCGTATTTCATCAGTAGGAACATTCCTGATGGACGTAGACTACGGACCCGTGAACCGCAGTCATATTTATGCAAAAAGCATCAAAAACCCAGGGACTAAAAAGAATCAAAAGTGAAAAACGGAAACAAAGCTGGCACCAGGACCCCCTCCCTGTCCTTTTCAGATCTTTCTCTGCGTCCTCAACTTCCGCCAGGTTGTAGCCTGTGATGTAAACCGAGGCAGAGGCCTCAGGGATCTGCAGGACCCAGGGGAAGGTGATGGAATCAAGAAGCCTGATGGAAAATCTACCGTTTACCATCTGGTTATTTAACATAGCCATGGTATAGATGGCCCATTTATAGATGGTTTACCTATGTTTACCTATTAAAAATGGTGATTTTCCATGGCTATGTGAGTCATAACCAGATGGTATATAGATCATTTTCCCATTAGAACCTCCATTTGATTCAGGGTTTTCCCGGCCCGCCACAATAGTTGCTGCCTCCGTGGCGCAGCATCCTGCTGAGGGAATACCCAGTGGATGACGGTCACTGGAGGAGCAACCCCAGCAATTTTGCTGTTGCTAGGCTACCGAGTTTGATCCATAGCCTAGAACTTCAGTAATCAACATGGGAATGGGTCAAAACCTTGTACCCCTGGTGAACATCAAAATAGCTGGTAAATGGATGTTCATCCCACTAAAAATGGTATCTATAGGTATTGACCCATACCCACATAAAATCTCATAAAATCATGGTATGAAAACTTCTCGATTACTGAAGTTGCTTCAGTCGCACGGCACCCATCAAAAGCCAGCCACCGAGGTGCGGGAAGCCGGCGCAACGTGGTCTCCCAGTGCTTCTGATAGTCTCTGACAGAGGTGCCAGCATTGAGAGCGATAAACAGCTGAGCTTCACCGGTCACCTGAGTTCAAGAGAAGTCAAGATATGGGGGGTCGATTCAAAGCTGTGGATGAATGGGGATGAATAGGAAATGAATTGGGATATACTCATGAAAAACAGGTATTTGTTCATGGATATGTTGGTATACATACACCTGTGAATATCAGTCTCCAAATGATGCCTGACACAACCTGACTGACCCAGAAGAATGACCCAACCCGCCTCCATCTCCAAATGATCTGCCACATCATGCCAATAGCCTTGCCAGTGTTCACACCTCGCAGGGTAAACCCTAAAAGCGATTCTCTGTCACAGCAGTTTTTACCCATAGTTTCCTAAAGTGAAAAGTAGAAACCTTCCTTTATCTAAAATAAAGGGGGAACCAGTCAATAGACTTCAGCCCTCTGAAAAAATGGAGGAATCATGTGGAATCCACGTAAAATTTGGAAAGAAAAAGGATCCACGAAATCTCCCCGGCCTCACCCCTTCCACTGCCACGCATCTGCCATGGATCTCCCCCGGTACCTCCGGGCCACAGAAGATCAGCCGCGGCCAGCGGCCGGCGATCATCGCCAGCTGATGCTCCAGGGCTTCGAGGCCGTCGCGATACTCGAGGCCGGGGCTGGGGCCCAAGACCCACACCTGGGACAACTGGTTGGATTTGGGGATCTTTGAAGCCTCGGTGATATAACCAGGGGCCAAAGTTGGGACTTCAATTGATGGTTTGAGATTGAAATCAACATCTTCGGACTGGGACTGGGATATGTTTGATACTGAAGATGACTCCTGGCACTGATATTATTGACCCGTACCGAAGCAGGATTCTAGGTGAAAAACACTGACGAGGCGAAGTTGAAGATTGAGTCAACTGGGGGTAGTTAAACCCTGCACTTGTGGGAGATTGGCAAGAAAATGCTGGGAAATCATTTTTGAATGTTGCAGTAGATTCCAGTGGTATATACCCTCTGGTAAACTAACATAACTATGGAAAATCACAATTTTCAATGGGAAAATCCACTATAAATTGTCATCTTCAATAGCTATGTTAAATTACCAGAGGGTATGTCCAACACATGTTCCCAATACTTTTGAAAAGACCATGATATACCCATGAGTTTGGAGTTCTATCCCCCTGCCTGAGAAATTGCTTCGTTGATGATGACTATCCCCCAGTCGGTGGTTGCTTTGGTAAGTCACTCTTTACGGGGCAAACTGCATCCACAAAGCATCAATGATTTGCCTGTTCGAAGATCATGCAGTTCCAATCTGTCATGTGGTTGGAAAACTCCTACAGCTCCTTGGCTCCCCCTTTCATGGGGAACATGGATACCCATCCGAATAGTTCCTTGACATCCCTTCAACCACATCATGGTAGACCCACCAAGTCACCACACTGCACCCCTGGCCATGCGCACGCACGGCTTCGGCGATGGTGGCAACGGCCGTCCACTCCTCCAGATAGTGACTATAGTGATTGGGCTCATAATACGGTATGATCTTATTTGCATTTTAGGAGGGGTTTCGCCGTTGCACCAATGATACCTGCCCTGAAACAAGTCTAGAATTAGGTGATTTTCCGATTGAACCGCTCAGTTGTTCCCCTCCAATCGTTCGCCAACAGTTGCATCCATTTCGATATTCCGCTAGATGGGAACCTACTGCAAATTGTGTGGTTTAAACAAACTTTGGTGGATTCTGTACATCACCTGCAGTGGTAGAACATGGTCATGTAAAAACTAAGGAAGAGATGTGGATAAAACAACGAATAGATGATGAACTAGAGGAAAAATGTGCAACCAGCTGGCATCCTCGAAATATATGAGCATGAAATTCCATGCTTTGGAGCCTGTCTGACTTGGACGCTATTTTGAGAACCCGCCGCTGCCGGCGCCCCTGTCCTCAGCACTCTCTAAGTCGAATGGATCCATGGGCCCTAGAAATGATAACTTTGACTTCTTGTTGTGCAACACACCACAGAAGGTGATCAAAGTATTATTGTTATCATCGTTCTTATGATTATCATTACGTACTATTAGCATTATTATCATTATCGTTATTGTCATTATCACTATTATCATCAGTATTACTATTGTCATGATTATTACTATTATATATTATGTATGTATGTACTCGATGCATTAAAGAAAGAAATCCTCCTACCAGCCCCATTTGCCACAGGAACACGACTTGACCCGTTGACCCGGATGATCCAACGAATCACCTGCAAGTTTTGCCACGGCGTTTCTGCCAGGAAAGGGTAGATAATTAGATGTAAATTTATGTAGATCTCCAGATTGTCTATCTACATTGATGTAGAACCTATATATATATATATTGATGAAATGATGCACATTACCGGATTCGTTCTTTATGTGCGTTGTCATGTCGCTCTTTTGTTTTTCTTTCTTTCTTCCCTTCTACATGTTCTCTTTTATTCCTCTTGTCTTGTCTTTTCTTTTCTCTTTCTTTCATTCCTTGCTTCCCTTGCTTTCCTTCCTTTCCTTTCTTTTCTATTCTTTTCCTTTCTTTTCTCTTTATTTTATCGTTCTTTCCTGCTTTAGTCTTCCGTTTTCTTCTCTGTCTTTCCTTCCCTTTTTTCCCCTTCCTTTCTTTCCTTCTTCTCTTTTCCGTTCTTTTCTTTTCTTTTCTCTTTATTCTTTCTTTTCTTCTCCGTTCTTTTCTCTTTTTTTCTCTTTTCCTGAATTTCTTTTTTCTTCTTTCATGAACACTGTTAATTACCGCGTCCGGATCATCCAAGCCGCCCTGCCTCCGATAAGGCCTCCAACAAGTCCATCTCTCCCAGCTCTTCGTCGGGGAGAAACTCCACCGTTCGCCCAAAGTGGCGCCAGAAGCTGCACTGCTCCTGAGACCGCACGAACCGTCTCCAAGCATCCAGGGAGTTGTTCTTACGTGGAGAAAAAATAAGTTCGACCAAACTCGATGATGGCTCAATGTTCTGTGATGTGTCGTTTCCATTTGGATTGAAGCATCTAAAATTGGGGTGCAAAACCAATCTGACGAGGAGATCATATGTTGAGGGCATTGGGCCTGGGGATTTTTTCTATGGCACAGCCAAGAATAGCGCAGTGCTCCGACGTGGTTTTGTAAAGAAAAAGGCCAAAGGAATTAGGAAGTACAGTGGTAAACCATCATTTTCGATGGTTAAACCCACCAGTACACGATGATATGACTGATATGACCAGGAAACCTGTGGTGCACCTATTCTTCGAAGCTGTGGACCCCTCCCACCTCCGTCTTGGGGATGATCAGAGGCGGATGTGGCACACCCAAGGCATCCAGAGCTTCAGCTTGCAGCTTGGAGAGCCAGAGGCTAAGATCTTCTTTTCTGGGCGACTCTGGGAGAAGTGCTTCGGGAGTAATGATGGCTCGGGAAAAATGTGTGGTGCCCAACATGAGATAAAAAAAACTACCCGCGAATGATTTCTTGGGTGGAATCTAAACTCATTGACTTTTGGGAGGGCCAAAGTTGACGGCAATCCCCATCCAAAGGTGATGGTTTGTCTCTTCAAAAATGGGACACTTGCTCACTTCTGAAAAACCAATGATTCAACGGTTCGCTTCTGCGTTAGATTTTGGGATATCCGGCTGAATCGCAATAATTAGTTCACCGACCTGAAATATATAGGATGGTCTTCGTGACATTCTCCCTTCGTTGAGCTGCGAATGAGTCAAAACCGACATTTTCTGCGTGTGACCTGGCTGGGAACCGCCCCAAGTTGGGGTGATTTTTGACCCATAGCTATACAGAAATCTGGGTACATTGTTATAATAAGTCACTAACCAGCTTATGTTATAACAATCATAGTTTATAACCCACCTTTAGGTTATGTTATGGCCTTATAATAATTCCCTAACCTTATTTTTTAGGCCACTGCCATCAAGGCACGGTGGAGAAGCAGCGTCAGCCATGGAAGAAGTGATTCGTATCCAACCGGGTCCAAGTTGATGTTGATGTACTCTGGCAAATATGTATGTATAGATATATCATTATATATATAATATAATTAAACATGTATATTGTATAAAAACCTTGCGCGATGAAAGTTTGGCTTGCAGGATTAATACCGGAGGGGTTGCTTTGCACTGCGTGCGCCGAAGCTTTGCACAAACCACTGCTATTCAAATGAGCATCAGCTGCAGAAAGATCGAGTGAGGCGATGCTGATTGTCATTTGGAGGATCCAGCGAAGCTGTCTAGTTTCGGTCCTTCATTTTAGGATCCCATTCTGAAAAAAAAGGATAAAAAGGATCTACATGAACCAAGAACTGGTTGGGGTGCCACTACGCATATATGTCTGTATATTTATATGGGTTTTGTGCCATGTGGGGTGTCCCCATCCTGAGACAAAGCCATATCAAATTCTTGCTTACAGATATCAAACGATCTAGCCATTGCATAGACATTATACAGCCATTGTATAGCAATTGTACAGTCATAAATACCCATTATATACCAATTATATATAATCCATGCCATCTGTATATACTGTACATGAAATAATATTAATATAAAATAATATATGATATATATATATATATACATAATCATATAATAAATAGTATATAATATATGTGTACAATTATCAATATATATATATATACATACACATATTATATATCATATGTATAATGTATGTATATAGATATAGAAAACATTTTTTATATATTATATGATTATATTTAATATGTATAATATATATATAGTATGTATGATACATATACATATACATATAATGATGTATATATAATATAATATAGATATATATATAATATATAATCCATATATATATACTGTAAAATATACCTATATATATATATACATCTATATGCATAGACGACATGTACACTGTACAAGTAGCTGGACATGTATATCTTGCTCCCCACATACCTTCTGCCCACAAGCCAGGCACTACGGGTGTTTCAACCCTGTCCTGTCACCCCACGACCTGGAAGAGGTTCGTGCAGTTTGTGGGACGATTGGTTGGTTGGTTGTAATCTTGTTTGGCCTATTGGTTGATTCATTCGTTGGTTCATTCATTGATCCATTCATGCGTTGAATGTTTGACAGAACCACTGCATGAATCAATGACAGTACGTCTTTTTTAAAAAAATACTAGATAACTGAATCACCGAATTGCGCAGTGCCTAACTGACCAACTGATTGAACGAATGACTAAATTGGCTAAACTACTTAATCACTGATTGACTACATGGCTGAATGACCGAACAAACGAACGAACGAATGCAACAAATGAATGCTGGACATCGACGAAATTGGACAAATTAGGTATTATATCAACATCATCTGGTTCCTGACTCCAATCTCTGGATTTGTTGGTAGAAGCTGCTCGGCTCCCTTCCCTCTGCATGCAATTTCCCCCAAGTCAATCACTGGCTTGATGTTCCAGCAAATTTCGTTTTCGGACGGGACACTAAAACTCAAAAAGTATGTTTGTTTATCAGGTTCTAACCCCCCAAACATGCGGGTATCCTGATCAATGGATTGATTTAGGGACAAATCTATAGGAAAACAGTGTTTTTACCCCCCACATGTAAGAGTTTTGCCTGCGGATTTCCCTTAAACTTGAAAGTCAGACTCATTTTCCCATCAAAGTAGTGATTTCTCATTTTTCCAGGGCATTTTTCCATGAGTTCTGATGTTCAAAAACCATGGGACCTGCCTTTTTTTTCCCCGTTTTTTTTAAGTCGTCTGAGTGTTCCTGACAGGTTGCAGGCCCTTTGCCATTCACGGCGCTTGGCCGACTCCGTCGATCCCCAAAAGACCTGGAAAATCCGCGAATTTCGAGGCTGGTCCGACTGGGGGAATGGTTGGGAAATGGTTGGGAAAACAACTATAGTCCATTGGGAAAACCATTGATAGTGCACCACAATGCAGCACACCTAATATCATTAACTATCAATTGGACTATCAATGGTTGGGAAAAGCCAGAAATAGTCCCAACCATTGATAGTTATTATGGATTATTGTTATTGATGATTGAAATATCACGAATGATTATTGATTAATATCACAAATGATGGAAATGATGGAATTGATAGTCCATTGATAGTTTGTTTGTGGATATGATGATTGGGATATGATGATTCAGGGATCTTTCAATGGGACTAGCAATAGTGCATTGATAGTTATTGTGGATTATGATTATTGGGATTATGATGGGAATGGGATTATTGGGATCTTCACTAGTAATAATCATCCCAGCAACCCCAATTCCCATCCATTCCCTGCTAAGCACCAGTAAGATGAAGGTTACTAATAGTTATTGTGGATCTTGTTGGGATATGATAAAAGTGAATCTTTCAATGGGAATTTATTGGGACAAAATGGAGGTACGTTAGTACCATTTTTTAGGTATTGTGTGGGGATATTCCCTTACATAGCCCTAAAAAATAGGCCTTTCCATATGGTAGGTACCTCCAATTTAGGTTCCTGAAATGGCCATTAACTATGGGGAAAGCCAGAAACGGTTTTAATGACATCAATGGTGATGTGTTTAATATTCCCTCTGGTGAAGATGAAAATTGTTTGCTCATTTGAATGCCATTCATCAACGAATGGCTTTCCTCATGGGTTTTCCACATCTGGAGCAGTTCACCCCAGGCTATACCCGCTGGGAATTTAATGTAGCGAGCCGTGGAAGAATACCATTTTAAATATAGGTAAATCAAACAAAACATCATCAATTTCCATGGGTCAGGTTCCATAGCTATGTTGAATGAGGGAAAAACCCTGCAAAATATGGGATAAAGCTGAGATTTAGGCACGAACTATATACGTATGTATGTATGTATGTATGTATGTATGTATGTATGTATGTATGTATGTATGTATGTATGTATGTATGTATGTATGTATGTATGTATGTATGTATGTATGTATGTATGTATGTATGTATGTAACGTATGTATGTAACGTATGTATGTAACGTATGTATGTAACGTATGTATGTAACGTATGTATGTAACGTATGTATGTAACGTATGTATGTAACGTATGTATGTAACGTATGTATGTAACGTATGTATGTAACGTATGTATGTAACGTATGTATGTATGTATGTATGTATGTATGTATGTATGTATGTATGTATGTATGTATGTATGTATGTATGTATGTATGTATGTATGTATGTATGTATGTATGTATGTATGTATGTATGTCATGTATGTATGTCATGTATGTATGTCATGTATGTATGTCATGTATGTATGTATGTATGTATGTATGTATGTATGTATGTATGTATGTATGTATGTATGTATGTATGTATGTATGTATGTAACGTATGTATGTAACGTATGTATGTAACGTATGTATGTAACGTATGTATGTAACGTATGTATGTAACGTATGTATGTAACGTATGTATGTAACGTATGTATGTAACGTATGTATGTAACGTATGTATGTAACGTATGTATGTAACGTATGTACGTATGTAACGTATGTACGTATGTACGTATGTACGTATGTACGTATGTACGTATGTACGTATGTACGTATGTACGTATGTACGTATGTACGTATGTACGTATGTACGTATGTACGTATGTACGTATGTACGTATGTACGTATGTATGTATGTATGTATGTATATATAGATAAAATTGTCAAGAAAAAGTGGGGATGTAAATAGGAAAATGAGATCATAAATGCCATCATCAATGCTGATCTCAGCCACCAAAGCGGTCGGGTCGAAAATATTGATGAAACGCTACCGTTTAGCGAACAGAATGGTCAGGTTTAGACTGAACAATCCGTGAACAATATGCTCGTCGTTGGGATCATCATCCACCAGTACAAAGCCGCAGAATCTGTTGGACATCCAGTTCGTCAAGCTCTACGTGTACAACGTCTGTACCCGTGTGAAACGCGCTAATGTGGTCGGATCCTCCTGCGCAGAAGAATCTTAACGTATAAACTACTGCAGCTTTCGGTGGGTAACCCAATAACACAAGCACAAAAACAAAGGGTACCTCCTCTGAACATGTACTAGCTATCAGGTATGCTTCAGGATTATGAACACGCTAAAATGAATGGAGCAGCACATTGGAGTTGTCAAAATGTGTGGCCGATTTTGGTTACCCAATGAGCCAATCTGAGTAATCTTTTGGGAGCCACCTTTGGATTGAAGCCAAGGAGCCACCCTTTGGACTTGGGACAGAAATCTTGGAGGATTTCGGCGAAAGTCCCGCGCCTGTCGAACGCGACTGCTGCTGGTGTTGGGCCGGTCCTGCAAGGCGCCGGCTTCGGGTCGTAGGGTTCAAAGGGTACAACAAAAAATATCTACTGGTGATGCGGTGGGTTTCAACCTATTTTAGGGACTATAGTGACTATAGGATATCCTATCCTATCCATCCATGATTAAGACAATCCTGACAATCCTCGTGAGGCTCCTCTTTGGACCCATTGGAGGCCGCGGTGCCCATGGTGCCAACGGTGCCTGTCGAGGCCGTTTCTCAAACTTTAGGGCCACTCTGTTTTGAACAAAGCATGTGGAGATGGGTGGGTACCTAACATGGTACACCCAGTTCCAATGGATTCCAATGGATTATCAATGGATTATCAGCGGATTATCATTATCATCATGTTCCCTATTCAAATGGCCATCTATGGGTATCACCTATAGACAAACCCCTGCGACCCACCTGGGCGCGAGCGACAGCTCGACCCATTGGTGCGTGGTCGTGGCATTGGTGCCTCCGGCCTCGCAGTTCGGCGCGAGCTTCGAGTGTTTTGTGCGCTGCGAGGTGAATAGCGGTAAGAGCTATGGAAAAGAGCCTGGATGATTTAACCCATGTATGGATGATTTAATCCATTTATGGATGATTTACCTGTTTAACATGGTCATGATGGTGATGTTCCACTTAGACTTAGACTCTTGAAGTCTTGCTGGTGGATCACTGGAGAAATCGAGCAGTGCTAGTCGTTCAGTTGTCTCCCATGAGCTGGTGGTGCTTGGTACTCAGCAACAATCTTCCAATTCAGCGAGTATCTATAAATATACATATATATATAGAGGATTAATTGATATACATGTATATATATAGAGAGAGAGAATTAATTAATTGATTAATGAAATTAATATGCCTACAAGTATAGAAAGAGAGAGAGAGAGGGAGAAAATTAATTTACATACATGTATATCTACATACATCATATTACATATACGTATACATGTGTATTGTAATATAATGTGTATATATATATGTGACTTATATGTGTATATATATATGTGAATTTTATATAAATATATATTGGTAAATTATATATATATGACTTATATACATCTATGAATTACATATATATATGTAAATTATGTATATATATGTAAATTATGTGTATATATATATATATATGTAAATTATGTATTTATATATATATATATGAATTATATAGATATATATATATATGAATATAATATAAAATATATATGAATTATATATATACATGAATTATGTATATATATATTGTATATATATATATGTGAATGATAAATATGTGAATGATAAATATGAATTCTTTATATGAATTATATATGTATACGTATAAATTATATATAATTATATATTTATATAGTACAGTGATCTGATATACCTTAGTCTTATTAGTGTTCGCTGCAAAACCCATCTTTTGGGAAATCCATTCTTCAAAGCATTGTAGCGTTTCGACTACGTGGCCTGATCTTTTACCCCAAACGGCAGGTTTCAAAATCTTTGAAAAAGAAACCAATCCAAAAATGGTTCAAATAGGTATACTCCAACATTTGGCAAGATTGATATAATGTATCAATCTATTCATGGGCAAAAAGGAATGATAGCCCAAAGATTGGAGAGTGCTTTGCCCATGATGTTCCCATGGTAAAATCTCCATCTTCTTGGAGATATCATGATGTTCCCATTTCTAGGGGAAACCCGAATATCGGGTAATAATCATCTCCAAAGTCTGGAATACTGGAATGATTATCGAATATCTTTTTATCTCCAGATGATTATCATGAATATCGGGTAACAAGATCATACTTCAAAGTCTGGAGATCATAATCATCTCGGAGGAATCGGAATAATGATGGAATAATGCTCCAAAATCTGGAGCCATACCCTCCGGCAATCAAACGTGGCAATTGAACATGTTCCTATGATAAATGGAGGTGTCTTCATGGGACAAAACATCTGTAAACGGAGGTTTCCTAAAATGGGGGTACCCCAAATCATCCAGTCGTCATTAGACCATGAATTAGTCTCGAAACCCATGGTGACTTGGGGATCCCCCATGACTCAAGCCACCGCCAAACGGTGGATTTCCCAGCACGCCATGACTACCCGGGCCGTTGTCGCCTCGCCTCTTCTCAACCTTCGGCTCCTAGGAAGCGTAGGTGCCGTGCCAGACTCCACATGGGAGAGTCTCGTATGGGAACTCATCACCACAATAAGCACAGTGATATTGATTCCAACATTGGTAGAACAAAATGAGAAGGAGAGGAAGAAGAAGAAGAAGAGAAGAATCATCACCATCATCATCACCATCATCATCATCATCACCATCATCATCATCATCATCACCATCATCCATTAGTAACCATAGATCACCATAGATAACCATTAACATTAATAAACCACTACCATCATTTGCTCCAAAAAGGGGCTGCTGTTTGATGGATCCTTGTCGTGCGTCCACCGATCCGAGATCTCCCAGAGCGTGCGGTAGCCTGGCCACGATCCGTGGCTCCACGTGGCTCCAAACGCGAGCCAAAGCTGTGTCAAAATCATGGGAAAATCGTGGGGAAAAACCATGGAAAAACCATGGGAAATCATGGAAAATCCATGGAAAACTACGAGGAAAGCACGGAAAAAACCTGAAAAAACCTTATAAAACCTTATAAAACCTTATAAAACCTTATAAAACCATAATGATGTGTGACTTATTTTTGATGTACTAAGGATAGTGACTAACCTGCCTATGATCATCAACCAACTGGGCTTGTTGAAACTGTCAGATCGTGTCGGTAGCAATTATCAAACATAGCTTGGTGGATTCAACGTCCCTGAAAAACCATCCCGTTTCCCGTTTCTATTGTTGACACATCACAAACAACATGCGAAACCACAAACTTCCCGTACCGGTTGACAATTCTGAGAAACCCCTAGAAATCCACAGGATCTGGTGACCAGGTCTTGCCAACCACGGAAAAAAACCACGTATACTCATCACAATTCATCTAGATAAACTGCCCATGAATATGGAGCATTTCCGAACAGGAAACAATCATGGATTTCCATTGTTCTATGTTGACTGGAGGGTGATTCCCATCAAAATGATGTCCCCAACACCAAAAAAAAACATCATTATTGAATGAGTAATGTTCCATACCTTGAACTAGTCCATTACGCCCTCTGGTAATCTCAAGCAGCTATGGAAAATGGATAAAAATTACCCGTTTACTGAGAAATGTGTTACCGTTTTTGAAACATGGTGATGTTCCAGTTCTAAAACTGTTCTTGCATTATTCAAAAAAAAAACAAACAGAAAATTTGCTAGAAGAATGGCATTTACTCATTGCCAGAGCAGTGATCCCCAGCGCCCTCAGGCCTGCCAAGGGCTCAGGCAGATTCTGCAGGGTCACGGGCTCCTTGACTTGGGCGAAGGACAACCACCTCAGCACGGGCCCGGAAGTGGCCAAAAAACACCTTTTTTGGTCGGAAAAACTCGGGAGTTACACTGGGGATGCTGATATTTCATGGCTGAAGTATGGGATGTTGGGACAACTATGGGGATAATTATGGGATAATATGTGTTTGGAACCAGCCAGCCATTCATCATGGGTAGTAACACAAAAAAGGCAGAACAAGTATTTCCAGAACGGTAGTTCGATGATGTTTTCCCCCCACCTATAATTTCCTACTTGACAACGTTTCGATCTTTTGGGCGGCTCGTCTATATTATTTTGCATAATGGATATGGCTTTGTATAAAAATATGGTACCTAGGTAAGCCCATTTGTTGGGGAAGATCATCCCGATTGAAAGTGCCACCAGGGCATCTGGGTGGATAGGGCGAATCTTAACTGGCGAGTCCTAGTGTTGAAAACCCTCAAACTGAGCTGCCGGGCATGGCAAAACCACCCTTGGAGACTCCTCGGTGTCTCCACAAAACCCTACGAGTTCCTAGGACAACATCAAATTCAAGCATCGGAGAAGTGCAACAGTCAATCAAGTACCCTCTGGCAACTGGAAATCGACTATAAATGGAGGTGTTCATCGAAGGAAGTTTAGAAGTCAAACTTCCGACAATATGGAGAGATGAAAAGCAGAGCAGGGCAGAGGCAGAGAGAAGAGGAAGATTAGCAGAGAGAAGATCAGAAGAGAAAGAGTAAGAAGACGGAAGATACAGATGCGCGAAAAGGTAGTAAAGTCGCGAAACACTGTGTTTTTCCAATGATTTGGGTCGAAAAGTAGGCTCGCTAAAGCGGCGGGTGCGGAGCCAGCTGGCCAGGGGAGCGATGAAAAATTGCACGCCGTTGTGGCGCGAAGCACATTTCCAAGTGAAAATGTACAAAACACACCATTCTCGGACCACTTTTGGAAGTTGAGATGTCAAAAAAATGCACGCCGTTGTGGCGCGAAGCGCATTTCGAAGTCAAAAGTGTTAAAAACTGGCGGTCTCGGACCACTTTTGGAAGTTGCGATGTCGAAAAAGTGCACGCCATTGTGGCGCGAAGCACATTTCGAAGTCAAAATGTACAAAACACCATGTTCGCGCCACTTTTGGAGGTTCAGATGTCGAAAAAGTGCACGCCGTTGTGGCGCGAAGCACATTTCGAAGTCAAAATGTCCAAAACACCTCAGCTCCGGACCACTTTTGGAAGTTGAGATGTTGAGAAAGTGCACGTCGTTGTGGCGCGAAGCACATGTCCAAGTCAAAATGTCCAAAACACCAGGGGTTCGGACCATTTTTGGAGGTTCAGATGTTGAAAAAGTGTACGCCGTTGTGGCGCGAAGCTCACTTCGAAGTCACACTACATTACACTACATTACACTCCAGTACGCTCCGCTACACGCAATTACACTACACCACACTACATTACACTGACTGACACTGCAACACAGATAGACAGCTAGACAGATAGACAGATGAAAGGGAGAGAGAGATAGACAGGTAGGTAGATAGGTAGATAGATAGAGAGGTAATTAGATGAAAGAGAGAGAGAGAGAGAGAGAGAGAGAGAGAGGCCAGCTGGGTAGATGAGATAGATAGATAGATGGCTAGACAGATAGACAGAAAGACAGACAGATCGATAGACAGACAGACAGACAGACAGACAGATAGATAGATAGATAGATTGGTAGGTAGGTAGGTAGGTAGATAGTCAGAGAAAGCGAGAGAAAGAGTGAGAGAGATCAAGCACCATTCGGTCCATCAGTGGATTCGCTTTGCCATCCCTGATTCACAGCAACCAACCTCTCCTATAGGTTTCCTATTTTTGAAACTTCCGCCACCGCCTTGTGCGGTACTACTGGTAGAAAAATCAACTATCAATGGGGGATTTCCCGTTGCCATGTTTGGTTACTGGTCAAGTAAATACTCCCAAGCAGTCGGCCCTGGTTTGAATCTATGATCGACCACGACAAGGGAAATCCTGCTCTGATCCAACTCAGCTGGTGAAAGCCACGATGTTCCCGACAAGCAAATCATATGTTGAGGGGCACACCTATCATTGTCTTGGTTATACATCCCGTCCATATGTATACACATACACATACATACATACATATATATATATATATACATGATACCCTCTGGGAATCTAACATAGCAATCGAAAGAGCTCGTGTATAGCTGATACTCTTAATCCTGGAGCAAAAATTGTTAAAATTAGATTGACCGCCTATTTTCAGACCATGAATTTCCGCTGAACCAATGGCCAAGACGCTTTCTTTCGGTGCCTCTTCATGCCAGTCACCTGGTGGTCGCCACATCGCTATCTCACGCGAGTTTTGGAAGACATTTACATTGAGATGGAAAATACCAACGGTTCTCAGTAAAATTATCTACAAATACTAAAATGATTACAAATTGTGTAGATTTAATCTCTGTCCATACCGATGTTAGTTTGCTGGAGGGTGACGCAGCAAATCTCTTACTGACTGACAAGATCATGAGTAAGTTTGGGAATCCGGTTCCATACAAATAGCGTTCTTTTTGCATTTTTTGGTGCCACTCCAGATAAGAAGCCTATCTCAGGCTTTGTCCGGC